ATCTCTTCATTCCTTGATTTGCTCGAGCAGGCACCAGTAACGTCTCCATGGTGAGATTTGTTGTTACTGTTTTTGGCATATTGAATACACCACAGAGAGCTTGCCAGGCTCTGCCTTGTGGGCGGGATTCTCTTGGTAGCTTGCTGGACTCTCCAAGAGGGATGGAGGAATCAAACCCAGGTCGGCCGTGTACAAGACAAACACCCTACCTGCTATGCTATCTATCTGTATTATATATAGAGTATAATAGAGAAATTTGTGGTGAGAAAGTAAATGCTCAGAATGTGGACACTCAGAGATAGCTTGGATTTCAGGATATTCTCAAAAATCTGTTTTGTCTTTCAAGAAATGATAAAACTTGGGCTGGAGTGATAGCACAGCAGGTAGGGTGTTTGCCTTGCACACAGCAGACCCGGCTTCCATTCTCAGCATCCCATATGTTCCCTCAAGCATCGCTAGCAGTAATTCCTGAGTGCATGAGCCAGGAGTAACCCCTGTGCATTTCCTGGAGACCCAAAAAGCAAAAAAAAAAAGAAAAGAAAAGAAATGATAGGATTCTAGAAAAGCATGAAGCCATATACAGATCATTATAATGAATTATAATAAAATATTTTATCATATTTTATTATGTTTTATTATAATTATATAAAAGCATTTGTCTTGCATGCAGCCAGCCTGGCCAAGCCGGGTTCGATTCCTCCGCCCCTCTCAGAGAGCCCAGCAAGCTACCAAGAGTATCTTGCCCACGCGGCAAAGCCTGGCAAGCTACCTGTGACATATTTGATATGCCAAACACAGTAACAACAAGTCTCAAAATGTAGACCTAACTGGGCCTGCTCGAGCAAATCGATGAACAATGAGAGGACACTGTTTTAATGTTATATAACTATATATAATATAACTTTATATATATATAATGTAACTATATAAAAGCACTAAAGCACTTTAAGTAAGAAACTATTATAGTCAAACTTTTTATGGGATATGAATATTCCTCTTGAATTCCATACGTGAATGTAAAACTTTAGCAAAGCATCTGTTAATCTGGAGAAGAAAACCTGCATTTTGTGGCAATTGTACTGAACTACAGCAGAGGAGGTATGATTCATTTTTCCCATTATTTGCAGTAGAACTATTAATGTTAGAAACAAAAAGAAGAAAGCAAAGTAGAAGGACATGGAAGAAAGGAGGAGAGGAAAATGCACGTGTGTGTGTGTGTGTGTGTGTGTGTGTGTGTGTGTGTGTGTGTGTAGAAGAATGCCCAACCTTCTAAGAGGACATAAAATACTTCAGACAAATTTCAGGAAGGAAAAGAAATTTATGTCCTTGCAACATTCCAGAAAATATAAGGCATTAGTATTGCACACAATGACATCTGTAATGCTCTGTCCAGTGAGGTAGAAACTAGTTTTCTGCTTGACTGCTCAGCCCAAGAGCAATAACTTGAATCAAGAAGACAGAACAAACTGGGACAAGAGGCACATTAGGAAAAAGCTTAAAAGATATCTGATAATATATATACTATCATTTCTACAATTTTAATTGGAGAACATTTTCTCTGTACTTAGACTGAAAAATAATTTAAAACGTCTTCTAGAACTTTGTTTATATTATATTAATAGGCCCTCGAATTTAGTTTTTTACTTTTTCTTGTTAAGAGAATTGTATAACTACTAGTTAATTATCACATTTTAAAATAATTCCAAACACAATTCAGTAAATATAAATTCAAGATTACTGATAAAAGTATCTGTAACTTTCAGTACACCAAAAGTGTTTTCATAGCAGTGATGCTTATATATTTTGTCTCATTACAAAAGTTTTTAAACTATTACATAGTATTCTAAAAGAATTTGATAATTTAATATCATATGTGCTAGTCATTATGCCTATTATAATGCCTAATGATTTAAAGTTTTATTTTGTTTGGGACATACCCAGAAGTATTCAGGGCTTACTCCTGGCTCTGGGTCTCATTCCTGAAGGAGCGCAGGAGAACATATCAGAGTCCTGGGGATTGAACCCAGGCCAGCCATGTGCAAGGCAAGTGCCTTACCCACTGTACTGTCTCTGCAGCCCTAAAATAATTTTTACAGTGTCTTAAGTATTTTTTTTGTGGATGATATAATTTGAAATTTCATAGGTCACTTTACTGTTAGGTTTTATTTTCTACTATACCATAGTATATTCTAAAGAAAGTTTGAACCCTTGAATCAAACAAGTTTTTATTTTAATTCTGCATTAGGTTGATGGTGGGATAAAGAATGGAGGGAAAATAATGGTTTTGTGCACACATCACTAATAAGTTACTGCTTTATTCCTAGACTGTAAACTTGATGGGGCAAAGGAAGACCACTTGAAGGTTAATTAATTGAAAGTTACAAATGAAAATTATACTTGTAGTTTATAAGAAAGAGTTATTTTAGCATGTTCCAATTTACAGCCATTAGCTTCATCTTAATCCCTTATTCCCATAGTAACGTCACAGTTAAGAGAATAGTCTTGCTCAAGTTTATCAACTTTAACCAACTATCTTGGTTAGTGGTGGTAGGTTAGGGGAAGACTCAACTATTTCACCTGTCATCTCAAATATTTCAGCTATAATCATAATATGCAAGAGAGTTGCATATTATCTCTTAGATGCATAAGTTCATAACTAATGTTTGTACCCTATAAAGAAGAATGAATTGAACAGAGAAAGAGCAAATAAAGTCAGAAAATAGTTTTAAATTAGTAATTCCAAGTAATAATGTTACCAAATTGTTTTACCAAGTCAAAGGCTTACTCTTATAATAAATACAAGCTATAGATTAGAAGAGTTTAAGTAGGATAGAGCAAAAATCCTAAAGTGGTTTCTATTCTTCTTTTCTGTAGGTGTATTGCACATTCCATAACCATGACCATAACCATCATTATAAGCATGAAACACTACAGTCCACAAAATTAAGTTTTTGCCACAAGAATGTTCTCAATTTTTTAAAAATCATTAAACAAATGTTTTGGTCTTGTTATTTTTTAATTTCTTAAATTATTTTTCAAAATGTAAGAATATTATTTTAAAATTGAATTTAGCAATCCAGCTGATAATCCTGATTCTGTTATTTGGTTATTTGGTACTGAAACTAAATACTTGCCCTATTCTCTTTGTTTATCATTTCTTTAATTATGCCATTAATCCACTTTAAATTTAGAATAGCATGCAACTTTTAATAAAAATATTTATATACAATTTCATTCAAATAATATTCCTTACTCTTAGGTTTTCTTTAATTATTGCAACTACTGAAAAGTGACCAAGGAAATATTGATCTTCTGTACTGAATTAACTATCATAGTTACAAGCACTTGTCCCCTGCCTTGTTCTCTACAAAAATTTTATTTTTTTAGAAATATGGTTGAATATTGTTTAATATTAATGTTAATTTGATAAGTAAGAATTATCTAACATATCAAAGACTTCTTTCATTTTTTATCCCACCATTTGTTTTCAAAGTTTGCACTTAATCCCAGTTCCTCGAAAGAAATCTAGATTTTCAATATCAATCACTATAATATAAAAGTTCTGCCCTTCTCTTCAATATTCTCCCAGATAAGTGACTGTCAAACAATAATTTTTGCCTAATTCCAAACCTAGAAGATACTTGGCACTGTGTGATGACATTTTTTTTTATTAACATCATGTGGGAAGTTATACTAAGAGTATCTAGTAAGTATAGTCCAAATAGCTACTAAACAGTCCTACAATGCACAAAATTATCCCCATATCACCCACAACAAAGAATTTATCTAATAAAAAATGCCATTATTCCCAAGACTGAGAAAGTAGTTGGTCAGTTGCATTAATAGTAGTTTATGAAAATTATGGCCTGCAAACAGATCCCTGAGAAATTAATCATATAACCTGATGGTTTTCTTTTGGTATTTCACATGATATTGGATATAATTTAAGCAATTGTGATAACTAGTGTGTACATTGCAATTTGTTAAAGGAGAAATCGGATTTTATTTTTAAGTTGAGGTAATGGTTTATAAATCTATGTAGTAGGTGTATAATTTTCATAACTCTTCAAGAGATATAACACCACAATATGCTTCTTACCCAACTGAGATTTTAATATTGGTGCAGCTCTTAAGATATTTCAAATATATTTTATGTATTAATCTATATTTTTTTCCTCTTAACATTTCCATAGGAAATTTCTGAGTGTACTTCCTCTTCCTAACGTTGATGCATTAGTAGCTTCAAATGAAATCAGATAATCCCTGTTTTTTCTGTGAAATTTTATATTTAAATTGGACTTTCAACTTATAAACTATTGTCCCATTTAAATCTTACCCATTCCTTAAGACTCAGGATTTGGGCCAGAGAAATAGTACTGGGGGTAAGATGTTTCCTTTTATGCACATGATCCAAGTCTTAATGCATGATATCACATAAGGTTCTCTGAGTTCCTGGGAGTTACTGTGCATGCAGGAGTTCCCAGTTTGATCCCTAGTGTTACATTGCCCCCTGGGCACCACTAGAATTGACTTCCAAATATACAAAACCAGGAATATCCTTATAGCATTGCCACTTGTGACCCCAAGTCAAATCCCCACCCAGAAAGAAGAAAAAAAAAGAAGAAAAAAGAAATGGACAGAAGCAAATAATTTAATGGTGATAAATGAACACCTTTTTTAAATGCAATTTTAATTTTAGACATGTAACACAAATAATCTCATTAAATAAGGTGGAAAGTAATCTTTTAGAGTTCACTTAAGATGAAAATAATGCCTTAAAGAAATTAGGTCTGTGGTTCACCAAGAATGGAAAACTATTCCCAATTAATTAAATTCATGGAAAATAGTTGAAGTAAGAACAAATTTGTTTATGCTGTCATAGCTGCAGCGTATATATATTGTTTTATCAGTGAAATTATTTTCATTGACATGTAAATGTTGGACAGTTGTCTTTTTGTTCCTTGATGGTAAAGTACTATTTCTTCTTTACTTAATCTTAGACAAAAGGTTCTCAAACCATGACACCATCGGGCACTCAGAAGAAAGTTAAAAGAACTCTTCCAAATCCACCTCCTGAAGAGACCTCCACAGGAACTCAGTCAACCTATAGCACAATGGGCACAGCTTCCAGAAGAAGGATTTGTAGAACCAACACCATGGCACGAGCAAAAATTCTCCAGGATATAGACAGAGAACTTGATCTTGTGGAGAGAGAATCAGCAAAGCTTAGAAAGAAACAGGCAGAACTTGATGAAGAAGAAAAGGAGATTGATGCCAAATTAAGGTACTTGGAAATGGGGATTAATAGAAGAAAGGAAGCATTACTAAAGGAGAGAGAAAAGAGAGAGCGAGCTTACCTCCAGGGAGTAGCTGAAGATAGAGATTATATGTCTGACAGTGAGGTGAGCAGCACAAGACCTACCCGAATAGAAAGTCAGCATGGCATAGAGCGACCAAGAACGGCTCCTCAAACTGAATTTAGCCAATTCATGCCACCACAAACACAAACAGAAGCTCAGCTAGTTCCTCCAACAAGTCCTTATACTCAGTATCAGTACTCTTCCCCTGCTCTTCCTACTCAAGCACCCACCCCATATACCCAGCAGTCCCATTTTCAGCAACAAACTTTATACCATCAGCAAGTTTCACCTTATCAAACTCAGCCAACATTCCAAGCTGTGGCAACAATGTCCTTTACACCTCAAGCTCAACCTACACCAACCCCACAACCATCTTATCAGTTACCATCGCAGATGATGGTAATACAGCAGAAGCCACGGCAAACTACATTATACTTGGAACCCAAGATAACTTCAAACTATGAGGTTATCCGCAATCAGCCATTAATGATAGCACCTGTTTCCACTGATACTACGTATGCTGTTTCCCATCTTGGCAGCAAGTATAATAGCTTAGACTTGAGAATAGGATTGGAGGAAAGAAGTAGCATGGCAAGCAGCCCAATATCAAGCATATCTGCAGATTCCTTTTATGCAGATATTGACCACCATACCCCACGAAATTATGTCTTAATCGATGACATTGGAGAAATTACCAAAGGGACAACATCATTAAGCACTACATTTAGTCTTCATGAGAAAGATTTGACAAAGACAGACCGTCTCCTTCGAACCACTGAGGCACGTAGGTCTCAAGATGTGACAGATTTTCTAGCACCTTTACAGACTTCCTCCAGGTTGCATAGTTATGTGAAAGCCGAGGAAGATCCAATGGAGGATCCTTACGAATTAAAGCTTCTGAAACAGCAGATTAAACAAGAGTTCCGTAGAGGAGCAGAGAGTTTAGATCACCTGGCTGGACTCTCCCATTATTATCATGCTGATACTAGTTATAGACATTTCCCCAAATCTGAAAAATATAGCATTAGTAGACTCACTCTAGAAAAACAAGCAGCAAAACAACTGCCAGCAGCCATACTTTATCAAAAGCAATCGAAGCATAAGAAATCACTAATTGACCCTAAAATGTCCAAATTTTCACCTATTCAGGAAAGTAGAGACCTTGAACCTGACTATACAAGCTATATGACTTCGAGCACATCTTCTATTGGTGGCATTTCTTCCAGAGCAAGGCTACTTCAAGATGATATCACATTTGGCCTCAGAAAAAATATTACAGACCAACAGAAATTCATGGGCTCTTCTCTTGGTTCAGGACTGGGCACATTAGGAAATACTATAAGATCTGCTCTTCAGGATGAAGCAGATAAGCCATACAGTAGTGGGAGTAGGTCAAGACCCTCTTCCAGACCTTCCTCTGTCTATGGGCTTGATTTATCAATTAAAAGAGATTCATCCAGCTCTTCCCTGAGACTCAAAGCTCAAGAGGCTGAAGCTTTAGATGTTTCCTTTAGTCATGCATCATCCAGCAGAACTAAGCCTACAAGTTTGCCAATTAGCCAGAGCAGAGGGAGAATACCAATTGTGGCCCAGAATTCTGAAGAAGAAAGTCCACTTAGTCCTGTTGGCCAACCAATGGGAATGGCAAGGGCTGCAGCTGGACCCCTGCCACCAATATCTGCAGATACAAGAGATCAGTTTGGATCAAGTCATTCATTACCAGAAGTTCAGCAACACATGAGAGAAGAATCACGAACTCGAGGCTATGACCGTGATATAGCATTTATCATGGATGACTTCCAACATGCCATGTCAGACAGTGAAGGTAATTGGGGCTTCAGACAAATGTTGTTGCTCGCAAAACTCATCCTTTTATTTTCTTGCATGTTTAATTTTTCTCCTCAAGGATGTATTTTACTTTTCTTGGTGTGTCATTTGCATGCTTACTTTGACTTTATTTCTTGTATATTCAAAGTTTATCCTGTGTATAGATGTTGTGATGTGCTTTTATTTGTTTTTAGTTCATCTTTTATTGTTCTGTTTCTTGATTGTTTCTCTCAATTTCTTTATTGTTCAATTTTCCAAAACCATTATTTAAAAAATATGTCAATAAATTATGGTCATGCTTTATATCTATAGTTGTAAGGTTTTTATTGTATATTTACGTTTTAAAATTCTTTTTAAAAATTTTGGTTTATTTATTTATTAAATCTCTAACATTTAGAGCAATAATCATGACCCTATTAAATTTTGTAATGGAAAATAGTGTATTTTGTTAAATAAGCATCCAGTAATTAAGAAACGTTTTTTCATTGAGAAGTTTTGGTTAAGTTCCTGATGTTAGTTTAATGTATGCTTTTGTAAATAAAATGTTCCATTTTAAAATTTTATCATTCAGAGCATCAGAATAGCAAGTTATAGACAGAAGTGATAGTACAGTGTACAGTGTGTAGGTAGGGTGCTTCCCTTGCATGAAACAGAAACATGTTCTGTTCCCAGCACCCCCATATGCTCCTCAGAGCCCTGCCAGGAGTGTTTCCTGAGCACAGTAGATAGGAATAAGCTGTGAGCTCTACTGGGTGTGGCCCCCAAAATAATAAAGAAAAAAGAATTGAAAAGTTTATGAGTTTTACATTACATAGTATAGAAGTTAGTATATGCTACTCAGTATTATCAGTGTATTTAAAATAATTATTTAGATTTAAAATTTAAATATATTGTTATTATGGTTTAAGCTGTCTAGACCTGAAGCTTTCCTGGAGTGTCTGTTTAACTGATAGTTCCTTGGCTTTTCATTTTGCATCATTCAATTTTTTTTCGTCCCTAATTGTTTGCTAGTTTCACACATTGTGTAAGTGATTTAATGCAAATACATACTCCACTAAAATATTTCTTATGCTATTTTATTTTTACACAGTCAAATGAGCCATAGGGTTTTGAAAATTCTAAGGCTAAATTTGAAGGTGAAGAAAGAATGGCACAAGGTTCTAAATAATTTTACCAATGTCAAGAGTGTAAAATTAATGATTGTTGGTTCTCTTATCCCTCAACAATGCACTTTATTTTCTGCCTGGTTTAGATCTTAGAAATAAAAGGTTTCTGGTCAAAATACGGCATTACTATTTCATGTCTTTAAAACCTTCAAAATACTAAGCTAACATGAGCATCGCCCCTTTTATTCCTGACATTTTCCTTAAGGATTTTACATGGTAATATGCTTCCATGAAAAGAATCATCTTTTCTACCTTTGCATGTAGTCAACAATGTGACTTTAGGAATTCATGTTTAGAACTTAAAACATGATAAGGGCCAAAGAGTAGGGAGGCAAGTCACTTGTCTAACATGCCAAAGAGCTTGACTGATTCCATTATGATCTCCCATGGTCCAATAGAGGTCACTCCAGAGCAGAGTTAAAGATTATCCTTTAAGCACCCTGAGTGTGGCCCCTAAACATATGTTAATTAAAACTTTAAGAGGAACTATCATTGAATAGAAATGAGGGAAAACTTTTCCCAGTAAAATTTCAAAAGATTTTTCACTTTCTAAATTGTTTTCTTTTTCTAATAGCTTTGGGATTGACCACTTTTATTAATTAAATAAAGCACTTTTTAGATACTTTACTTAGTTAATTGCATGTATGGATCTAATAGTTAACATAGAATTATGTAGTCTTTTTTACTTTGACTTTTCACAATTATTATTTTTCATGTATTTTCTACATACAGTATGCTGTAGAAGAATAAAGAAGGTTGATAATCATAACTATATAAAAGGCAAAACATCAACAAACACCATAAAAGTTTGTCTCATAATTAAAAACATAAAGGTGGTATGTATGGTTCTGAGGAGATAGGACTGAAGTTAAGAACTTACTAGCAGCTGGGCCCAGTAAAATTGCCAGCACTTGCATATGGTCCCCAAACTCTTCCAGTTGTGATTCCTGAGCACAGAGCTAGCAGTAAGCCCTGAGAACAGCTTGATATTGCCAAAAGCAAACAAAAATGTGGCATGTAAATGGTGAGGGGGAGCATATTTCTGGTGATATTTCAACAAGCTCATTTTTTCGTCACAAATATTTTGTTAACATGATGCCAAACAGAATTTTATAAATATCTCAAAATGTGACATTTATGTAAAATTATTAAAAAAATTTTTGGAACTTCAGACATCATACATGGGTAGCACAATGGCTTTGTATGCAAGAATTTGATCCGTGGCACTGTTTATGGTCTCTCAAGCCCCATAGGGACTAATCCCTGAGTAATACTGAGTGCAGAGCCAGGACTAAACCCTGAGAATGGCTGGGTGTGGCCCCAAGACAAAACCCAGAAGTGTTTTCTCCTTTTTCTTATTCTTCTGAAGAATATTTATAATCATCAAATATAATATAAAATTTGTTCTAATAAAATAATGAGACAGGAAACAAAATTATCACGGTCACGGGCCTCCCATTGTTCATTGATTTGCTCGAGTGGGGCCCAAAACAAAATTATAAAATAATTAAATGAATATTATAAATTTATATCACATAATTCATTTCAAATATATTTTAATTGATTAGATAAGAAATATAAAGTTCCTGTATATGTAGAACTAGACAAAGTACAATATAATTATATAAGCAACATGTGTTAATTTTAATGATTATCTACAACATGTAAGTTGTTAGGTGTTATGTTTTTTCTTTTATATATGCATATTGGTTCTATTGAGTAGTGGTCTACTATTCTTTTGAAATACGGATTCTGACTGTAGCACTGTAGCACTGTCCTCCTGTTGTTCATCAATTTGCTCAAGCAGGCCCAGTAACATCTCCATTTTGAGACTTGTTACTGTGTTTGGCATATTAAATACATCACGAGTAGCTTGGCAGGCTTTGCCATGCGGGCAAGTTACTCTTGGTAGCTTGCCGGGCTCTCCGAGAGGGGCGGAGGAATCAAACCCCTCTTAGCCGGGCTGGGTGCACGCAAGGTAAACACCCTACCTCTGTGATATTGTTCCTACTGTAATTAAAGGAAAAAAGAATAATAAGTGTTTTCCAGCAATATAATTCATACTGGTTGACTCAAGAAGTATTAAAATTTTTTAATGCTTTTTGAAATGCATGTTACATTTGTATTTTGATTATGTAATCTAACATTGAAAAGTATGACATCCAGTTAGACCAAGATTTCTCAATAGGGCTCAAATGGTGTCCTGTAAACACCACCTTTCCCGTCCCCTATACTCTAAGAGGAGTAATAGGGAAAAATCACACAATTAAAATATGACACTAATTTTGAAATATGTCACAAGGTAAAACCTATGTAAACATAATCTAAATTAGTATTTTTTACCATCAGCTTATGTCCACAACTTAATATCAATATATGGTTAAGTACAGAGCAGTGAACTTTTCCTCTGGAACATACTGAAGGGAAGCCAGCTAGAGATAGTGAATTTATTTTCATTCCTATGGCCATAATTATTTCAGTAAAATAAATAATAAGATTTGCATCAGTTTAAGTTTTACCTATAAATAATGTAACATTCCTAATTAGTTTTCTTATATTTGACACATAAAAATTCAAAGATATCACTCTAAGGTGGCAATGTTGAACTCCAGAAAAATAAACATATTTATAAAATATTTCATTTTTAAGTTAATTTTTGAAATGTATCCCTACTATGGCAGATCAAATAGATAACAATTATGTAAAATATGCTATAAATGCTAACAACAAAATTTAATGCAAAAACATGTTTTTCCATCTGGCTGCTCTTGGTCGATGTATAAATACATTTCATAGCTTGGCATTCATTCTAACAAATTCAAACTTATAATAATAAATAATAGAGAATCAAAATCTAATCAGGCTCATAAATAAAATAAAAAAATTTGGATCAGCTTGAGAATCTGTCTTATTTTTCTAGACACAGCCTAGGAAGCATGTTTTACAGGATTGTATTTCAAATTTTAGTATTAAGGTGTGATATAATAAAGGATAAATAAAAAGTAGGATAGCATAATATAACATAATATAAAAAATAGCATTTATCAAATGTTTATCATAATCTGTTATGGGCAGAGAGATTATCAAATTTATATTAAATGTTGTGTATAATTAGTGGCTTAACCCCAAAACCACATGGTTGCATAAGTACTGCCATGAGTGACCCTCAAGCCCAACAAGGGAGTGTCCATAAAGAAAAAGAAAAATAAGTTACTAATTCTTAAATTAAAACTATGAAAAAACAATAAATGTCAAGTATATTTGAGAAAAGATTGTATAACTATAATGGGATTTAAAGAACAGAATAGTATTTATTTTAAAATACTAAACTTTATTTAAAATAAATTACATGACCTTTTTCACAAGTTAATTACTTTTCTTTATTTCATTTATTTCCCCAAAATATGTCCAATGTAATGGCATTTGCATTACATTATTTTTATTGTTGAATGGAAAAACAAAGAATTAGGAGCCTTGCCCTCAAGTAGTTTATGTTCTAATATGTGAGATCAAATAAATGCATTGGTAACCACACCCAAGTGACACGATATTATTTGGTCAAATTAAGAGAGACGAAATTATAACACGATAGCTACTGTGTCCTGCATGCTTGTAGGGGGGTTGTGTAGGAGCAAGTTCTTTGCTTAATCTGTATCGTGCACTAAGAAAACAAAAGGCAGAGGTGATTAGTGATATATTTGACACAGTTTTGCAAACCCTGCATGGAAATTAATGATACGGACTTCGGGGAAAGGAAGTCTTGGAGGAAAGTTAGGAAAAGAAGAACTCCTTAGCATGACATCATAGAAATTAAAGCTTCAGAAAACTATGTTGAATGCATCACTAACAAGTCTCTCAAATCAGGCATGTAAAAAGGTCTAGTCCATCTGCTACCTATGAGGCAACATTGTTTTTCCAGACACTACACATTAGGGTTGACTTTAGGTTGACCTTGCGACCACTCACTAGGCTGGAACGATAGCACAGCTGTAGGGCGTTTGCCTTGCACGCAGCCAACATGGCCGACCCGAGTTCGATTCCTTCACCCCTCTCGGAGAGCCCGGCAAGCTACCGAGAGTATCTCGCCCGCACGGCAGAGCCTGGCAAGCTCCCCGTGACGTATTCGATATGCCAGACACAGTAACAACAAAGTCTCCAATGGAGACGTTACTGGGCCCGCTCGAGCAAATCGATGATCAACGGGAGGGCCTTTACCTTTTACCTTTTACACATTAGGGATTGTTTGGCAAATAACAAAATACTAAATTTGGTGTACAAAGTATTGGTACTTGATCATCAGTAAATAAGTTCTTTAAAATAACTTTGAAATACTGGGCTGGAGAGAAAGTACAAGAGTTTAGGCACTTTCTTCCCCAGTGCCACATATGGTCCACTGAACATCACTGGGACTGATTCGTTAGAACATAGTCTAGAATGGGGCTTGAGGGATAGCACAGCTGGTAGGGCGTTTGCCTTGCACGCGGCCGACTTGAGTTCGATCCCCAGCATCCCATATGGTCCCCCAAGCACCGCTAGGAGTAATTCCTGAGTGCAGAGCCCCTGAGCATCGCTGGGTGTGACCCAAACACCAAAAAAAAAAAAAAAATACATAGCCAAGAGTAAGCCCTGAGCACATTTAGCTGTGGCCCCAATACCAAACAAAAAGAGTTTGCAAGTATTAAAAATGGAATAAGTAAAGTAAGTAAGTAAAGTAAAGACCCTCCCATTGATCACCAATTTGCTCGAGCGGGCCCAGTAATGTCTCCATTGGAGACTTTGTTGTTACTGTGTTTGGCACATCGAATACATCACGGGTAGCTTGCCAGGCTCTGCCGTGCGGGCGAGATACTCTCGGTAGCTTGCCGGGCTCTCCGAGAGGGGTGAAGGAATCGAACTCGGGTCGGCCATGTTGGCTGCGTGCAAGGCAAACGCCCTACCGCTGTGCTAAAAGTTTAAATGATGATTATATATTTATATATTTTTTTCAATAATATTACCAAATATGTTAACTTTTATCATATACATATAATCAATCAACTCCTCAATCTAATTTCTATACCAGTAATATACTTAGAAATAGTTTTATTTTTATTTTAAGTTTCAATTAGATGTATATTTTATCTAATTGATAAATGTAAATATTATTGAATATAGATATGTATTTTATCTATTTAACTGCCAGGTGATTATGACCCCATGTTCCTAACAGTAATCTTTCATTTAGTTACAGATATCATAGAAATGTCCTGTTTTAGAAAGTAGTCCATGTTCAAACCCAATAGCCACATAATGGTAAAAAATGACAGAAACTTTGGTACCACAAAGATCTATTTCCCATAGCTTTTTAGTAGTGGATTGTGAGAAGAAATGAGGAGTAGGAGCTTATGAACTGAGTTCTGAATGACTTCTGAGGAATACGCACACCTTGTTACTTTACTTATATAATCACCATCTTCTTTTTCTTATTTATTTTTAATTTTATTTTGCTATTAGAAATTAAACAGATGTGTACACTGATCTTTCTAAATTGTCTCATGGTACAATTTCTTAAACACTATTTTAATATAATATTGGAATGGTTTTTCTCTCTTTGCCCGAGCTGTGTTTGAAATGCATGAACTTTTGACAAGCTGGGTGCATGTTGGTATTTTGAAACATCGACAGTCCTTTATCATTTATCTTAGTAGGGGTTGCAATGTTTGATATTTCCTTGGTTTCCAAAGCCTATCACTTGCGCCGTGAAGAAACGGATTGGTTTGACAAACCCAGGGAATCTCGTTTGGATAGTGGACATGGTCTGGATCGAAAACTGCCTGAAAGATTAGTCCACTCTAGACCACTTAGTCAACATCAAGAACAAGTAAGTGCTATATTTAGCAATTTCTTCTAAATGTATTCAGTTCATCCTAGAATAGTCTTAATTACCCAAATAAATGAGACTTTTATTTATCATGTTCATAAATGAATTTCTTCTAGTAATTTAAGGTGTTGTTTCTGATTGACATTTTAGCATAATTGTGGTGCAATTTAAGTGACTATTTCCTTAAATGGTCATTCTTCCAAAAGATAGTAAATTGTGCAGGATATCCAATACTGCAGAAATTGATTATGAGAAACTCTTGAAGAGTTTATAGAATTTTGGATGGCATAGATCTGGTTGGTTTTAGTGCTTCCAAATAACAATTTAATAAAAGGATCAAATGAATATAGTTAAGAACATAAAACACTTGACTTGGGTGTAAAGAAACTGGTAGAGCAATGTAAGTTTTTCTGCATCCATTAGAAACGTAGACAGAAAAATAAATAATGAAATAAATAATTCCCTATAAAATGATTATAACGAAATAGAATTTTATATTCAGTTCAATTCACACAAAATAGACATTAACATATTTATAGATAAAAAACTGAAAACATTAGGTGAATTTTACAGTTGATAACATGATGCAAAAATCCAGTCTCATTTCCTTTGAACAAATGAGGTGAGATTTAGTTTGAACTTTGAAATATGAAATTGACACTTGTATAATCTGAGGAAAATCCTCTAATAGATCAGGTACTTGAAATCTGATATATTAATCAGAATACTTGTCAAAATATATAGTGTATAGATATAAATACTGTTGGAATTATATATATAGATGAGTGTGATAGAAAAATGTAAATTCTGACCCTAGTCCATGCAAAGGTTTTAAACTTTCCACCTGCCAACTAATTTACTTTTGTTTCTGAAATCTCAATTAGCCAGTGGAAAGAGAGAAAATGCAGTCTATAGAGTTATGTTAATGTCTCAATAATGATAATTTGGTTCTCATTGTTGATTTATATAAATCAGACTTTCCTCAAAAGCTGTAAGTTCTTTTTTTTCCAACCTAAAAGAAGATCTACAGTGAATTAGAAATAGCATCAATAACACAACTTCAAAGAGTATTGTAATGAGGAAATATGCTTTATTTATGTGAAATTCATTTCAGCATCTAGTGTACATAGATTCTTCTGATAGATTTGTTCACCAGAAACACAAAACGGCAAAAATGAATATATTCCCTATAAAATGAAAATAAATAAGAAGCAGTCCTACTATTAGTTAGAGAGATGGAGCACTAGGATAATTTTTCTGGCTTTTCTTCCCAGTTACAATGAATTGATGAAATTAAATTTTTATTTTCCAACAATCTAGAGCAAAATCATTAGCTGTCAGTTACTCTTCTCATGGTTATTGTAGTGTAAGCTCTCATCCTTGACTTTGTTTTTAGGTAATGCAAGTTTTAAAGTAAACCTTATGCTAAGGCATTCATATCAAACATTCAACCATTTAAGAAAGGGAGAACTACACTTGGTCAGTCTCTGGACTAGGTTAAAGCAGACTGCATTCCCCCACTAGACTCTTCTTATTTTACAAATATCCTACCATTGTCTTTCTTCTTGTACTTAAATTCCCCTGCTCTTAGGATTTGAATACATCAATGAAGAGTATGTGCCCCCATACACTAGAATACCCCTTTCCATCACTATTGCATCTGTACTTATAAAGCAGAAGACATCCTTTAGAAGCTGTTACATCTGTTCAGTTATTTCCCAAACAGAATAAATCACTTTGCAAGTGATATTGGTTAGTAAATGTGAATACCATAATGTTCCCAGAACTTATAACATTATATATATGTACATATATATAGAGAATCATGTTTTATTAAAAAATAAAATTAGGCTTGTTAGTCTAATTCTGTATATTTCCTTTTAAGAGTCTTTAACATTGCTTCTTCACTTACACATGTATGTCTTAGATTATACAGATGAATGGAAAGACTATGCACTACATTTTCCCTCATGCAAGGATAAAAATAACAAGAGACTCTAAGGATCATACAGTTTCAGGTAAAGGTAATCAAATCATATACTTTTACTGATTTTATGCTAAATTAAATGCATATTTGTATTTTAGTAAATTGACATTCAATTTTGGAAAGGTCATGTATTCTGTCAAAAATTGTGTTTTGGAAAATTTGAAATAAGAATATAGAACATAATAGACAAGATCATTAACATTACTCATAAGAGGTAAATATTTAGATTTAGTTATTTTGCCCTTTATCTAAATTTCCTACCTTTAAATTTTATTAAACCAAAATAAAAATGATCAAAATGTTGCTGGTGGGTCAGAGAGATAGTTCAGCAGGTATGATGCCTGCCTGTATGTCGCCAATCAGTTTTCAGTTCCTTGTGGTCCTCAATCCCTGCCATGGGTGTTCCCTGAATGCAGAACCAGGAACCATGAGCATAACTGGCAGTGGCCCCCAAACTAACAAATAAACAAGAGAATGTTGCTGGTTGCAGGCATTAAGGTATGATACCCATTAGAGAAGGAGTAGTATTCCCCAGATGGTTTAGGTAAGGTGAGGAGAAAGGTGGCATCCTTGAAAGAATACTTTTCTGTCTACCCATCTCTGCCCACCTCAGTCACCCAACGAAGTTCATAGGGAAATCTAGTATTGATGAAAGACTGAGACGAGCCTAATGAGAAGCTTCACAGAACAGACCTCACATCTTACCAGGTCCACCAGGCAGTAGTCAGTCAAACCACACATGGATTCCACTTGTTCTGCCTGGCATGGGAAATGATATACTTGCCACACAACTTCTCTGGGCACCATGGAAACCAGGTTGGTTCAAGGAATTTTTCACTGCAGAAAAGCAAAGTCAGTCCTAAATGCTTGCCTAGGTTTTTCAGTTTCATTACTGTTTCCTCACCAAAAGGAATTTTGGAAAATGAATAGTGAAGTAAAATAAGTTTATTTGGGAGGAAAGAGAGAGATAAATGAACATATGTGCTAAAGAGACAATACAGGCTTCTCCAGAGTATGAAAATCAAAGTACGCCATTCCAAGCAGGGATGCCATTTTCGCAGAATAAGAAAATGTATCCTAAAGTAATAAAGCCCACATCTACTTGAGATACATCATTTACGAAGCCAAATTAGTTGTGTTTAGTTTTCCCACACTGCCCCCAATCAATCCATTGCTAGGCTGGTTGCCATGGGGATGCACTTGAAGCAGTTGATGGTCTTTTTTCTTGATTTTTACCATGGCCTTGTTTGACATTCTCGGGATCCAGCCGTCTTTTCTCTCTGGAAGCCTTTTTGCACATGGTCTGGAATTCAGCATCTCAATAGTTTTCTGGGCTCCTGAGTTGAGTCAAAGGCCTTTTGTATCAAAGGGCTTAAGACTTTTGTGATGGTTTTAGGTTCCAAGCATCACATTATCAATATACTGTATAAAATCCCAGGACCCCATGTCTTCCTGCCTGCAACAAAAAAAGGATTAGCTTTGATATCATGCTATGAAAATGTCCTCAAGATCTTATCCATACTTTCAATTTTCTAAACAATCTCACTTTTATCCCTAGTCAAATGTCCAATCCAAAATGAATGTAGGACTTAGTTATCTGACTTTCTTTGTCTTCTCCAATGTGGTACTTCCTCTGTCTACCTTTGTTTTCTTTCTGCCTACTGTCTTTTCTTGAACACTTTTGAAATATAATGGGAATTTTGTATTGTAAATTAAAAGTTATAGTATTAATGAAGTCGGTGAGCCCTCTCAACTGGCTAATGTGAGGCAGAAAGGAAAAGAAAAACCACTTTCTCCCAAGCCACTTCTTCACCCTCAGGACCATCTGGGAAGTCTAGTTTTGATAAAGTCTGTGATGAGCCCCTGCCAGGCCCTACAAGGGCCCCACTGGCCCAATAGGTGGCCATCCAGCCACACCTAACACCAACCTTACCTTCTTGGCATGAACGTTAATCCCCAGCACCCAATTTCTTTGGGAGCTGTGGACTAATGCTGAAGTATGGAATTGCTCTTTGCAGAAAAACAAAACCAGTCCTAGGACTTAGCTAGACCTTTTGTGTCCTTATCTTTTTCACAGAAAAGAATTTCAGGAGTAGACAAGTGGTGTAGTAAAAACCAGTTTTATTTGGAGGTTTTAAGGGGAAGGGAAGGGAGACAGAGAAAGGAAGAATGGGTAGCATGTTCAAGACAGAGAACACGGTCTTCTCCAAAGACAGAGAGCAGCCACATGAACAGAAGCAGCATATGGGCTTGGGCAACATACTCATGCTTTTCCTTTGTTCATAAAACTTAATATGAAAAAAACTTTATGGAAAAAACTTTCATAGTTTTTTTTTCTTTTTTTTTTTTTAACACAGTTTCTAGCTAGGTAAGAGTCCTTGCTTGGGTGGTTGCCAACGGGGTAGAGTTGGGAGTGTTGATGGTCTTGTTTGAAATTCCTTTTTTGTGTTCTTTGTTCCTGTTGGAACTTCTCTCAGTGGAGGGGTCCAGCCTTTCTGTATTTCTGGTGCCAGATAAAGTTATAGTTCTTTTGTTGTTGTTGTTCTTTTTTTTTTTCTTTTTGGATTACACTCAGCAGTGCACAGGGGATACTCCTGGCTCACCTCATGCACTCAGGAATTACTCCTGGTAGTGTTTGGGGGACATGAAAGGCAAACGCCCTACCTGCTGTGCTATAGCTCCAGCCCCAAAGTTCTAGTTCTTAAGCTTACAAAGTAAACTCTTTGTAGCCTTGTGGCTATTAGTTTTATTACTTCTCAAGAATTCCATTGCTATAAGGGCCCTTTTCTATCTACATGCCTACATCATTAAGATTTGGAGGTTTGGTCACATCCATTACAGTGATAAGAGTGACTAGCATTTCTGTGGTAGAGGTCCCTCCTGACAGTGCTGGCCCACACAGTCCCAGGAATTGAACCCAGGCTTCCAACATGCAGAGCATGTCTCAGTCCATTAGCTATCTTTCTAGTCTTTATGCAGTTTTAAAAGATAAGGTATATCTATGTTCTCAAAAAAGTACAGTTTTTTTTAATAGACATTGGATATCAACAGTAAATATTAATGAACAGCACTGTCACTATCACTATCCTCCCGTTGTTCATAGATTTGCTCAAGCGGGCCCAGTAACATTGTGAGACTTGTAACATATCTTACATAATGTTTTATGCTTCAGAGGACATTTTTTAAGGACTGAAAGATATAACAAAGAATATAAAGTTAAATTTCTTCAACGTACCTCCCATAGTTGCCATAGTGCCTTGCATTTTTTAAACCATGGAGCATATAAATTTGAACAAACTTCGTTTTAAGCTATTTTCCTCTCTTTATTTTCATAGAGAATGAATCGATTAGGAGTCTAATTTTTTTTTGGTCATGATTGGGTTATTTTTCTTCTAGCAGAGACAGATAATTCAACCTTTCACAGTTTTATTGGGTACAGACTGTATTTTTAAGTGCTGATGAAATTCCAGGCATGAATCTTAAAATCTAGTAGCTTTCTTTTTGTAAAGATAATTACTTAATACAAACTGTTTTTGTTTCCTGCAGCTCATAAAGTGAAATAACATTATTCATATACTTACCAGGACCAATTTTTAAAAGCTGTATGACGAAAAACTTCAGACTGTTTATATGAAACCATTAGGAATCTATATCAATATCTCATTATTCTGTCTATATTATTATTTTATACTGTATTTGATTATTCCTTCAAATTTATTGCTGTCCTTTTGCTATTTTAATTTTATCTTTGTTCTATTGTGCTAAAACTAGGGGGACATTTAAAAGGAAGAATAACTGAAATAAGACCTATTAACTTCTTGGTAGAAATATTCTCATATAAAAACTAGATTCAATTTTAATATATATGTTTCACAAAATTAGCAAGAAAATTGTCATTTTTAATAATAAATGCTAGCAGTATACTGTATCATCTCTTTGTGTACCCCAATTCTTTTCATACCTACTTAAAATAATAAAAAAATAAAGTATTTCTCTACTGAATTTCTTCATCATTGGTTATTACTTGAGTGTATTTTCCATGAGTCCTTAGAAAGCATAACCTCTTACTGAATTGTTTTCAAGTAAGGTTTTAAAACACCTCGGAGTTGTTTATACACGTATAAATTCAAGGCTAGAATCAGAAACTACAGTCTTTGTCAGTGTGTAGAAGTTTACCTAGTAATATGCAAGCCCGAGAACACAGCTTTTTTCCCAGGCTAATCTCAGTGTTATTTGATACCCAATCAGAAGCCAAATTGGGGAAAGGAGAGACAATTCAATAGATGAAAGCCCCGCCTCTAGCATAAAGCCAAGTGTAACTCTAAGCACTCTTCAATGTCCTCCCTCCCTAGTGCCTAACTTGAAGGATTAAGTATTTGGTGATATTAAAGATTTACTGTTGGCTTTTGCTACGATTATCATTTTATGTCAATATACATATGAAATGCACAGATTTTTTAGAGGAATATACTAAAACATTTACAGGTTAAATTATATATTTAAATGTGAAATTATATCATTACTGTGATTTCTTTAAAAGTGAATAATAGTGAAGAAATAGATTTAGAAATGTTGATCTTGATTTATTGCTGTTGGAATTGAATGATTAATCACAATGGATTTTATAGTCATGTTACTACTTCATCATGCATGGTTATTTTAATAATAAAAATTTAATTTTTTTCTTATATTTAACTTCACCAGGTAGCACTGTAGCACTGTCCTCCCATTGTTCATCAATTTGCTCAAGCGGGTCCAGTAACATCTCCATTGTGAAACGTGTTACTGTGTTTGGCATATTGAATATGTCATGTGTAGCTTGCCAGGCTCTGCTGTGCGGGCGACATACTCTCGGTAGCTTGCCGGGCTCTCCGAGAGAGGTGGAAGAATCAAACCCGGCTTGGCTGGGCTGGCCGTGCACAAGGCAAACGCCCTACTCGCTGTGCTATCGCTTCAGCCAATAGTAGAAAAACTAAGTAGTGACTTAACCATCTTTATAAAATAATGATTTACAAGGAAAGAGTGAAGCTACTGGTTACTTGTGAATTTTCATTTGGTTTAAATTAAACCCATTAGAAGTAGATGTACTATATATATTATATATATATATATCATAAACTATTTTAGCTGGGTAAAACATTAAGATATTTTATGAAAACTATTAAGTACACTATAAAAAGTTTGAAAATATTTAGTACAATGGTTTAAAATCTTTTATTCATGTACAAAGTTGAAAAATGAGAAAACAAATAATTAGTGTGAAATTCAGAAAGACCTTAGTTGGGTTGTACCTCTATAGCTAATTTACGTTTTGAAGATAAATTTGTCATAAAGTAACACCATCTCTGTGTCACTAATGTGAAATGTTATACATAATGGTGTGCGCAACAAATGTTATTTTCCCTTCTCTTAAAAATGATCAGAGTAGAGGAAAAACTGCTGTGCTCACAAAGTGAGACTTTATACCATTAGAATTCCATCTTATGGCTCCAAAAACATAGCTGTTTAAAAACAAGCCAAAGAAATTTTTCCCATTAAAAAAAGTGTATTTGCTCATGTATAGTTCAGTTCCATAATGGACCGGCTACATCTGCAAGGCTATAAAAACTAATTAGCAAATAAATTGGTGAAGAAGTTAAAGATGCTTAGGTTCAAAAGATAGCAGTGACTTCTATGAATAAAAGTGGCCCATATTCTACCAAACCTCATTTGTATAGATTATGAAAATAGTGAACAAATGCAGCCAGCTCTTTTTATTATTATTTTAATAGTTATACTGTAGTATGATTTAGATATTTTGAATATGATATTTAAGAATTTTCAGAGTTGTACAACCATGCCATAATAATTTTTAAAGCATAAGTGATACAGAAATAGGAAGTCAAAGATTTGTCTTTTAAAGTTTATACATTTTTCAAGAGTTAAAAATGGTTCCTCAGGGCCAGAGTGACAGTTCAGCAGGTAGGGCATTAGCCTTGCATGCAGTTGACCCAGGTTCAATTCCCCATCATCCCATATGGTACCCTGAGCACTGCCCGAGTACACAGCCAGGAATAACCCCTGAGCATCGCCAGATGTGACCCAAACAGCAAAAAGAAAAAAAAAAGAAAAAAAATAGAAATTGTTCTTCAGTCACTAAATGGAGCATCTTCATTTTAATTATGCAATTAATTGTTGATCTTCATCAAAGGAGAAAGTTTCTTTCCTTTATTATTTTCGTTTAAAATTACCCTTGCCATTTGTACCCTTTGTAACAAAAAAAAAATGTGTCTGGTGCTAAATGATCAACAATAGTTTTCTGATGCATAAAAATAAGTTAAAATGTCAAAAGTTCATTTTTATCTCAATTGGACTTCTCATGATAATTATTCTCCATATTTTTTCCATGTGACTTATTTCAGGAAAATTTGTTCTTTGGTGTATTGCACAATTTACTAATTTATTAATTTATCTTGTACCTTATAGTAGCTGCCATATTAACAATTATAGAAATGAATTAAGGCTTAAGTTAGAAGTATTAGTTTATGTTACATTATTTTTTCTTTATGAATTGCAATTTTTTGCTTATTTAAATTGCTTCTCAGTCAATGATAGTTAGTACTGCCTGTTCGTAAATTCTATGTTCTGGAGTACTTGTATTGGGAACACTTTCTGCACCTTCTACCTGTTTGTAAGTTCTATGTTCTGAAGTTCTTGTATTGGGAACACCTTCATGCCAATGCTTGTAAGATTGCAGGTTAAAAATTAGCAAATATATTTATATTTTATCTCGGTAAAATTGATGAAATAAAAATGCTGTTATTATAAATTTAATTTTTAATATATCTTCCCTAGAGCTAGCATAGCAGTAGGGCGTTCCCCTTGCGCGCAGCCGACCAAGTTGGGTGTGATTCTTCTGCCCCTCTCTGAGAACCCGGCAAGCTACTCAGAGTATCTCGCCCACACGGCAAAGCCTGGCAAGCTCCCCATGATGTATTCAATATGCCAAAGACATTAACAAGTCTCACAGTGGAGACATTACTGGGCCCACTCAAGCAAATCGATGAACAATGGGAGGACATTGCAGTGCTATATCTTTCTTAAGATTTCAGAAGTTTGTTTCATATCAAGTATTGCCAAAATTGTAATAATCTAACTATATTATTACAAATAATTTTCTATTCCTAATACAGGTAATGGATTAGGAATTAGAATTGTGGGTGGTAAAGAAATCCCTGGACATAGTGGAGAAATTGGAGCCTATATTGCCAAGATTCTTCCTGGGGGAAGTGCAGAACAGACAGGGAAACTTATGGAAGGTAAGAATAAGGATTTCAAAGTAAATTAAAATGACTGTGTTCATATTAAATATATTTCAATTTAATATGCATTTTATGGAACTACCTAAGCAAAGATCCACTCTTATAATTAATTGTGAGTTGTACAATATAAAAATGGATATATGTACAGTTATAATCATTTTATTTTCAATTGCATTGCCCTTTGGCAGTTAATTTACGATAGTGATATCTTCTTTGAGTAACACAAATTAGTCAAAGATTTTATACTGACTGGTATAATATTTTTTAAAAAAGCATTAAGTTATGTTAGCATTTTGTAAAAAAATTTGTAAATATTAACAAAATAAGAGTCATGAAATTATCAGACAATTCTATACATGATGAAGTTAGGTCAGTGAACTTTAAATGACTAACAGTCCAAATACATCTTATGCCTTTTTCTGTAAACAATGCTTTATTGGAACTTGGCCAAAATAAAAATTTTAAATACTGAACATGATTTGTTTTCATACTAAAAGCTAAAGTGTATTCATAACAGAGTCTAAGTGGTATATAAATAATACTCTTTGACCTTTTATAGTTGCTAGATGCATTCAGATCCTATCTACCTCATCACATAATAGCATTTTAAAATAACATATCTAATATGATCATAAAATATCTTGCCTATTTCTTTTAGTAAATTATTACAGCATAACTATCAAAATACCTAACAATAATTTTGATTTATTACTTAAATTAGCTATCTACCTTTTCCAGACTTTAACATAGGGATACATACTTCGGAGACTCCCATTGTTTTTACAATAGCAATATTTTACTATTAAATCGCTCAACTTAATTCTTTATCTTACTGTAGAAAAAATACTTATTTGTAAGTTGTTTACTATTATTTATACTTTACTAGGAAAAGATTCTCTGTTTTTCCTTAAGACATTTAATCAAATTAAAATAATTCATTATCATTTAAAAAATCAAAGATGTAGGAAACTACCAAAATATTTCCTGGATTTTTTATTGATTATTATAATAAATACAAACTCAATGCAATATTTGTTCATTACAGTTTCTATTGATACCAGTCTGAAAAAGTAAATTATGAAATGAACATCACTTCCCAAGTTACTATTTCATAATAGTAACTAATAGTTAATAGCTTAGCTTGGCCATGTTGGTAGTATCTGCAGTATTTGTCTAAAGTGAGAATCAATACTACAAATCAGTCCTTTTTGTTTATTTGCTTGATGGTTTTCAGAATGCCGGTTTACCAAGACATCACCAGATACATAATGGAGAGTATATCATAGTAAATGTGCTAATGTTACAATGTTATTTATAAGGCTGAAAAATTAAGAACTAGTTAGGTCACTAAGTAAAGGAACAAATGATATAAGTAAGGATTTAATGATTATGAGGATGTACTGGGTCCGTATAAGTTTTTCGTGACTGTAATCATGCCATTGAACTCTGTAGTTATGTTATAGGAATTGAGACCCATTTTTTAAGAATGTGTGTGATATAAGCATTATGTTATCTGTATTCTTTAAAGCAAAAACTAACAATAACTGCCAGATTAGTTTGACAAATATATTAGAATAATTTGAATATAAAATCGCATGCCCTCATTTGTATTTGTATGATTGAAATGAATAGATGCCACAAACAAGGATAATTTAAAGATAATTTATTGAAATGTACTGTGATAAATTATGTTCTTGCTCTTTGTTGCCTGTTTGACTGTTTTTAAACTACACAAATTTGAATTTGAAAAATAAGTATAAAACAAACTCACTCAAAAGTGATCATGGGACTAAGCCTAATACTACCTTTGTGATTTTTCAAGCTTAAAAGACTTGCTCTTTTCTCTTTGATGTAGTTGGTTTTGATTTGAAATTTGTTTAAGCAGGAAATTATTTGAATCTAAATACATGTGATTTAATATACTTCTATTTTATAATTATGTTATTTTTCCAAAGTTTTGCAAAGTTGCCAATTAAGACCTTTCTCTCAGGATAGATAATGTTGTTAGAGTTTTAAGTCTTGTAATACCAAAGCCATATTTGTTATTTATAATATCTAACTTTATTTCATGTATTCTAGAAACATAGATCTCTACTAAAACACTTGATGATATTAAAACCCTTATGCTTTTCCCTGCATTTTGATTTTGAAACATTAAATATTTTGAGGAGTAACTTATATGTATCTGAGGTCATTTATCGTCTACCAAACATAAGTAACATATGTTCCGTACCTAGGGTTTTTAACTTTCATGATCTTAAATTGCTATTGAAGGCATTGAATCTAGTTAGTTCTCCACAGATTTACATTATTTCCTGTAGACTATATATATGTGTATATATGTGTATACATGTGTATATGAATAGAGATAAGTTGATAGATATGATATGCATTTGTGTTTATGCAGTAAAATTTCTCCATTTATATAGATGTTCCAGGTAGATTTAGCAATTAATTTGTTCATTTCCAGAGATATAGTTCTCCATTTTTGAATGTAAAAGCCTTTGAACTCAGATTTTATTCACTTCCATTTTATTTAAAACACAAAAGACAATTGATTGTAGAATTTTTAAACTAGCCTTTTTCCTCACCACAATAAAACTTTAAAGCTATTTAGAGATGGTTCAATAAATCTTCTGAGTTTTCTGCCATTTATAGACTCCAATAAACTTCATATTCATCATGGTCTGGCATGTTTAAGTACTTGCAGCACTAGTAGCAGATTCTGTGTTGATTTTAGGAGAAGGTTTTGAAATGTCCTCTAGCTTTTTAGTCTCATGCAGTTAAACATATTGAGCAATCATGTAATACTATTCAGAAAGTATATTTTGGAATAGTACTTATAAAATGTATAACTAACATAAAATGAAAGAGAGGAAATCCCAAATATGTAAAAATCTCCAGGGTACTTTATGATTCTCTGCCTTAGTGATTTGTTTGAAAATATTGGGATGAGGGCAGTGAAGATGAGGGACTGCTGTGTTTGGACCATACCTGATGGCTTAGTGTTTTCTCCTGGCTAGCTCAGGGATAACTTGTGGCAGTACTAGGGTGACCATATGCAGTGCCAGGCAACAAACTGGGTTCAGCCTTTGTAAGGCAGGCACCTTTCTTCAATTCTACATTTCTGGCCTGGAAAATAATTATTTCAACCTTTTTAAAAAATCAGATTTTTGGCTACAAGGTACATGGAGTGCCTGAACCTGAGTATAGACTCGGGGACTGTGGAGAGAGGGAGCAAACATGGATGGCACCGGCTTCTCTCCTTTTCAATAAAGTTGCTGATACAGAGTAAAAAAAGAAAAAAGTATTTCTGAAACAGATTGTTTATCCTGTTAGAGGATGTAAGGGAATGTTGTGTTTCACAATGCTAAGAATCAGCAAAATTTAATTTACATAATCATTAGGTTCTCATCAGTAAGTTTGTTTTACAACAATTCTAATATTAGCTTATGTACTGTTCACTAAAGAACAATACTATTAAAGTGATTTCCTCAACCAATCTTTTAGTTTTATAAGCCCACAATTTTTTTTAAATCTCAGGTAACAGAGATTTAAGGAACCCTAATCTTACAAAATCTTAAAATATATTATCTGAATTTTAGTAAGTATTATACAATTACTAAAGAATGACCTTTTGCTTTCTGTAACTGTCCCTTTTAATGCACAAAATTGGTCTTTGTTATAATGGAAAAACATGAATATAAAAGATCTGGTGACCTAAACTACAAATGTAAATTTCTAACGTGCTATTTCTCACTTTTTCTTTTGGACTCTAGTTCTAATAATCTTAGACCAACACTGCTGTGTCAACAAAATGCTTATAATTTTTGAGTTTCAAATGGTATCTAATATTATCTTTTATTCCTGTATTTAGTATTATTTCTCCTTAAGCTAATTTCAACTAAAATTAATCTTGAATGTGTAGATCTGGAGTGTGTTTGCTACTACCGTTTAAAATCTTTATCCTTGAGCAAATTATTATAAGCCTTATTCATATAAAAAATGTCATTACCCTGTTCAGAATAATCTACACCTTTACTAATGGTCTTAAAAAATTAGAAACTTCCTCTCTAATTTACTTTTTATGCTTTAAACTATATTTTAAGTGATGAGACCTATTCGATATAATTACAGTTGTATTAAGTTTTAGATTTATTGCTTTATTTAAAAATAATAATTTATTTTAAAATAACTTTATATGATCCTTTTACATCTATCAACCATCTCCTAGACTATTCAGCTCATAATATAGTTTTTAGTATCTCATGATAAGCAAGACATTTTTTTTCTCTGATAAAGACCTGGTTCATCTATTCTTTGTGTTCTATCCACATGGGAGTTTATCTGTTGAGTCCTTTAAAATAGTCTTCTGCATCTCAGTCCTTAGCACAGTGCTAACTAAAACAGCTCCAAGAAAAATAGTTAGCAATGAGTTATAAAGAATTAGTTTTAAATTACAAAGTTTACGTATGATGGAGTTGCATAAAGCCAATAAATGATACATGGAGTCACAATATTATTATAAATCATTAGCTATCATTTCTTTCTGTGTAAAAATAAGATAGAATAATTATTTGGTAAATAACTTTTTATTTTCAGAAATGAAAAAAATGAAAACCACTTTCTCCAAGAACACATTTTTACAACTTTGAGTTGATTGCTCAAATATTTACATAAGCTTACTTTTTTTTTAGTGTAGTATTGTTCTTTTGTATTTGAATTTAAATTTAGGTCTCTGAAGTGGACTTGGGTGATTTTACTTTCTGATCTGGAAGAACCTTTGAACTCGAAGGTTGCAGCAGCGTCTCCCTGTGTTGGCTGAGGCAAGAAGGGGATTTTTCTTTAAATGTTCCTCCTTCTCAAACCCAGATTATCCAAAACATCATGTTCGTTCTTTAGAGAAGGTGAAGGACAGAAAACAGAGGAGTTTTAAATTAGAAGTTAAAATCTCCACTGGGAACATCAAGTGCAAGATAGTAGTGTTTACTGCCTGG